ATTACTGACCCTGAAGACCTTCCAGTGTACAAGACGTGGAGGTGGAGGGCAGTGATGTCGAGGATCCTGACCCTGTGTAGGTCTAGGCTAATATGTCTGTGTTTTAGTTCTTTTTTTTTTTTAATCCTCACCCGAGGACATTTTTCCATTTTTTGTTCAGATAGAGCGGGAGGGAGAGAGAGGAAGAGAGAGAGAGAGAAACATCGATGTGAAAGGGACACATCGAGTGGCTGCCACCCGCACGACCAACCAGGGCCGGGGACAAACTGAAACCGAGGTACATGCCCTTAGCGGGAACCGAACCCGGGTCTCCCCGGACCGCAGGCCAATGCTGTAACCGCTGAGCCAAACCGGCCAGGGCGTGTGTTTTAGTTTTTAACAAAAATATATAAACTTAAATAAAATAAAAATTTTTAAATAAAAAATTTTAAGTAGAAAAAAAGTTTTGTTGAAAGGAAATATGTACTACTATACAATGTGTGTTTTAGGTTAAGTGTTATTACAAAAGAGGCGAAAAGTTAAAAAAAATTAGTTTATAAAGTAAAAATGTTTCAGTGAGCTAAGGTAAACTTATTGTGGAAAACGGTTTTTATTTTGTGTAGCCTAAGTGTACAGGTGTTTGTAAAGTGTACAGTAGTGCACAGTAATGCCCTGGGTCTTCACATTCATGCACCACTCACCACTCACTCATCTAGAGCAACTTCCAGTCCTGCCAGCTTCATTCATGATAAGTGCCCTGCACATGTCTCCCATTTTTATCTTTTATACCATATTTTTACTGTACCTTTTCTATGTTTAAATTCATAGATACGTACCATTGTGTTACAGTTGCCTACAGTATTCAGTACAGTAACATGCTGTACAAGTTTGTAGCTTAGGAGCAATAGGCTACACCTTACAGCCTAGGCGTGTATTAGGTGAGACCATCTAGGTTTGTGTAAACGCACTCTGATCCTTGTATAATGAAATTGCCAAACAACCCATTTCTCAGAACGTATTCCCTTTGTTAAGTGGTGCACGACTGTTTGATATATTCATGTGGTCTGATGTGTACTTTAAGTCCATTGTTTCCTTACTGATCTTCTGCCTGGATGATCTATCCACTGCTGAAAGTGGGGTAGTGAAGTTTCCTGTTACTATTGTATCACTGTCTACTTATCCCTTCAGATTTCTTAATATTTGCTTTATATATTTAGGTGCTCCTATGTTGTATGCACAGATATTTACAAATGCTATATCCTCTTGATAAATTGGCCCCTTTATCACTATATAAAGATCTTTTTTGTCTCTTGTTACAGTTTTTGGCTTAAAATTTTATTTTGTCTGATATAAGTATAGCTACTCAGGCTTTCCTTTTAGTTTCCATTGTATGGAATCTCTTTTTCCATCCATTCACTTTCAGTCCATGTGTGTCCTTAAAATTAAAGTGAGTTTCTTATAGACAGCATATAGATGGGTCTTGTTTTTTATCCATTCAACCACTCTCTTTTGATTGAAGAGAATATAGTCTATTTACATTCAAAGTAATTATTTATAGTTATGGATTTACTATTGTCATTTTTAAATTGTTTCCTGGTTGTTTGTAATTCTTTTGTTCCTGTCTTCCTCTTTTGCTCACTTCTTTTGTGATTTGATGCTTTTCTGTAGTGGTATGCTTTGATTTATTTTTTGTGTTTCTACCATAGGCTTTTGCTTTGTGGTTTCCACAGAGCATACATAAAACCTCTTATATTTAAAACAGTTTATTTTAAGCAGCTAACAATTTAACTTTGAACACGTACAATAACTACATTTTTATACTGCTCACATTTTATGTTTTTGATGTCACAACTCATTTTATACTGTGTACATTGACAAATTGTAGTTATGGCTATTTTTAACACTTTTGTCTTTTAACCTTTATACTAGAGTTATAAGTGATTTATTCGTCAGCATTATGTTATTTTGAACTTAACTATATATTTACCTTTTTTAGTGAGTTTTATGTTTTCATATTGCTACTTAGCATTCTTTTATTTCACCTTTAAGAACTCCTTTCAACAATTCTTTTAAGAATGTTATAGTGATGATGCATTCTTTTAGCTTTTGTTTGTCTGGAAAACTCTATCTCGTCTCCAATTCTGAAGGACAACTGCCAGGTAGAATATTCTTGGTTGGCAGTGTTTTTCTTTTTCTTTTTTTATCCTCACCCGAGGACATAGAGCGGGAGGGAGAGAGAGAGAGAGAGAGAAACATTGATGTCAAGGGACACATCGAGTGGCTGCCACCCGCACGACCAACCAGGGCTGGGGACAAACTGCAACCGAGGTATGCGCCCTTAGCGGGAACCGAACCCGGGTCTCTCTGTACCGCAGGCCGACGCTCCAACCTCTGAGCCAAACCGGCCAGGGTGGCAGTGTTTTTCTTTCAGCACGTTGAATAGGTTGTGTTATTCCTTTCTGATCTGCAAAGCTGCTGCTGAAATCTGCTCAAGCCTCGTGAAAGTTTCTTTGTATATAAGAAATTGCTTTTATTTTGTTTATAAGATTCTCTCTTTATCTTTATTTTTGCATTTTACCTTTATAAACTTTTATTTTTATACTTTGTATTAATTTCTGTGATTTTCTTTTCCATGAGCAGTTTTGATTATTGTATTTGAAATGCTTTAAAATCTGGTAGTGTCTGAACTTTATTTTGATGTAATTTCAACTTGACGGAAGAGTTGTAAGTGGTGCACGGAACCCCAATATACCCTTCACCCAGATTTCCTAACATTAGATTCTACTATATTTGCCATTCTCTACTTATATATATTATTTCTATTTAATCTGAAGTATTTAGAAGTCGATTAGAGATATGTTGCTCCATTGTCCCTTAACATTTCAGCATGTTTCCTAAAAATAAGGATACTTTCTGGCATAATCACTGCATCAAAATTCAGAAAATAACTTTGATACTTTTCTACTGTCTGATTCTTGGACTTCATAACCATTTTCTCCATAGTTTCAGTTTTAGGCCCAGGATCATGTGTTGTGTTTAGTTGTCATATCTCTTTAGTGTCCTTCAATATGGAATATCTTTGCAGTCTGTCATGGTTCATGATATTTTTAAAGAATATGTAGATCATTACTCTGGGGAATAGTCTTCAGTTTGGATTTGTGTGATGTTTCCTCATAGTACGAATATCAAGAAGTAAATGCTCAGTGCATCATATGTATCTGATGTCCACATGTCTCGTTACTGGTGATAACTTTTACCAAATGGTTGAAGCGATGTCTTCCAGATTTTACCATTCTAAAATTAATTATTAAATTAAAAAAAAACAAATTTTTGACTCTTTGAAGTTAATATCTTTTTTAAAAAATATGTTTTTGATTTTTTAGAGAGAGAGGAAGGGAAAGAGAGATAGAACATCAATATGAGAGAGAAACATTGATCAGCTGCCTCCTGCATGCCCCCTACTGGGGATGGAGCCTGCAACCCGGTCATATGCCCTAACCGGGAATCGATCCCGGACCTCTAGTTCATGTCGTGCTTCACAGATGTTGTGTTTTTCTTTTCTTACAAATTGAAGGCGAGACTATCCATCAGGTAAAGGATCATAACTCACTTTATAACAATACTCGATTTATTGTGGTGGTCTGGAACCTAACCCGCAATATCTATGAGGTATGCCTGTAATTTATCAACAGAAGCTACCCCACTCCTCAGTATCATTAGGATATAGTAATGCAGTTGATTCTTTTTTATTATTCAACTCTTACAACTCTGATATACTAGTTTATTACCCTTAGTGGACTTTCTAATTTTTTAAAACTGTATCTGTATACAAATTTTATTTCTTTTTTATAAAAATAATTTTTCTTTATTGATTTTAGAGAGAGAGGAAGGGAGAGGGGGAGAGAGAGAGAGGAACATTGACTGGTAGCCTCCTGCATGACCTCCACTGGGGATCAGGCCTACAACCTGGGCACATGCCCTGACCGGAAATTGAACCAGCGACCTCTTGGTGCATGAGTTGCTGCTCAGCCACTGAGCCACACTAGCCAGGCTTATTAATTTTTTTATGCTAGCTATTTTTCTCTCCTTTGAAAACTGTTTTCATCATTACTATTATGTCAATGAGTCATCCATTTCTAGTATATTATTTTAATGGGAATGAATTTAATGTGCATTTTGCTGGTAAGCAAAATTACTCATGAGTATAATTTTTTATATATTTAGTATATAAAATGGGGAGTTTTTAATATATGTTACTACTATGCTAATTTTAAGAGATTTAAGAATGGATTTAATATAGAGTTGCTTCAGTATATATTAAATAGGTATAAAAATATTTTCTTAAAGGATATTTTGAGTTGCAGTGTTTTTTTCCTGTTTTGGCTCCCTAGGATAAATTAGTAATAGGATGTTGAGTTTTAAACTCTGATGTCTGGTTCACTTGGCTTATCTTTTTTTTTTTTTTTATCCTCACCAGAGGACATTTTTTGAATTTATTTTCAGATAGAGCAAGAGGGAAAGAGGGAAGAAGAGAGAGAGAGAAACATCGATGTAAAAGAGAGACACATCAAGTGTTTGCCACCCACACGACCCCAGCCGGGGCAGGGGACAAACTGAAAGCTAGTTATGTGCCCTTAGCGGGAACCGAACCCAGGACTCTCTGGTCCGCGGGCCGATGCTCCAACCGCTGAGCCAAACCAGCCAGGGCCACTTGGCTTATCTTTATGGTAGATTGGTAGAGTCCCAGAATTGGGGCCACAAGGAGGTGAGATTTGCGTGATTAACAAGGATTAAGTCTGGGAGAGGGAATTGGATCTAGTTTAGTTGTCTGAAGGAATGTGGCTAATTGTCCTGGTCACACTTTCTTAAATGTTTCTTTCTAATTTAATTTTTAAGTTTCCTTGCCTTCCACAGTCTATCATCTACAACTCGGCTTAAAAATTTTACTATTTCTCTTTTACCTTCAGGGTAAAGTCCACATTCCTAAGTTTGGAATATAAGACCTTCGACTACCCCTTACTACATCAAACCCCATGCCATTTTGAACATGCTGTCCCCAGGCAACATGTCTGGTTCTGTTTTTGAGGAAGCTCTCTTCTTCCTCCTCGGTCTCCTCAGTGAATGCTGAATGAGTCCCCGGACTTGACTCACTGACCCCCTGAGAAGGCCCCCAGGCAGCTGCACAGATTCTCCTCTCCTTGGTGTACAAATGGACCCAGATCTGACCGATGATGGTAATTGGCTGGGCCTGGGGGTGTGAGTTAAAAAGGCCACCAGTTGGATTCCATCTTGGCTTACTCTGACTCAATCATTTGGGTGGGGCTCCGGATGCTTGTTGGTCTTTGCTTCCAGAACGCCCGGGTTGGGAGTTTGATGCTTAGCGGGGGTTGGGACTGTTGGTGTGAATACCAGATGAGGCTGCTGCAAGCACACTCTGCAGGACGTGCTCACACGCGAGCCTGCGTTTGTGTCACCTGGGTGACTTGGTAAGCTGCAGAAGGTTGGGTTCCACGTTCAGAGTTTCTGATTCATAGGTCTGGGTTGGGCCTGAGAATTTGCATTTCTAACAAGTTAGGGGATGTTGATGTTGCTGTTCCGGGGACCACACTTAGACAACCTCTGCTGTGCAGTCGATGGGTCATTGGTGAGCTGGAGTATTGATCCCTCACCCCCACAGAGAACCGAAGAAGCCAAGAGGCAGATCCTGTGCATAGTTCACAACCACATTGGCCACATACTGTAATTCTTTGCATAAATCCCGTGCCCACTGGCCTGTGAGCTCCCGAGTGCAGTTGAATCAGAGACTGTGGTAATGGGTTTATACTATTCTCCTTGCTCCGGGGGCTAAGGGCCACTGCCAGAACCCTGTGGCTACTCTCTGGGGCCGACATTTGAAGTAAAGCCCTACGGTTTTTCCAGAAGATAAAAAGATAGGGGCAGTGGTTCTGATTCAGGAGATTTTTGCTACCCAGGCATTGTCTGGGGACATATTTGGTTGTCACAGCTTATAGTTGGCATGTTGAGGATGGAGTTCAGGGATGCTGCTAACCATCTTGCAGGGCACAGGACAGCCCCCCACAACAAAGATGTATGCAGCCTAACATGTTAGTCTTGCTGAGCTCGAGAAGCCTGGACTCGGGAAGGAAGCGCTAATGAGGTCGGTGGGTCTTACTGTGAGATCTTTCGCTGTGCTGCTCATTTGTCCTTCACCCTGTCCCTGCTCTTGGATTCTGTAATCCAGAGCACCCCACCTACCTCCCCCCCCCCCCCAGCCCTGTCCTGGTGGAGCCTCCAGGAACCAGGGCTAGCAAAACCTCCAGGGAGGATTAACCAGAGATTAATATTTTGCATCAGTTGGAAGTGTTTTAAATACATTATCCTTTCAACAATAAATGACTTATTTGAGTGGGGCTAGGGCATTTGTTGAATGATTGACTGGGCCTAACCGACCTGCATCTTTCCCCTGTTCCGCAGGAGGAGAGGGTGTGTGAGCCAGTGTTCTCTGCTCAGCCAGGGAAGAGCCCTTCATTTCTTAACTCAGCTGAGGTTTGAGCGACTTGTGTGCCAGGTCCGGTGAACACCACAGAAAGACCCTTTCTGTCCTCGTGCAGCTCTCACTGGAGAGGGGAGGTGAACAGAACGAAGAAGGGGACTCTTCTTCTCTCAAAAAACAGATTGTAGTGAATAGGTCAAGAAAGGTAGAAGAGGGAAATAAGGTATAAAATCAGGGAATGTTTGTTTTTTTAGATAAAGTCCAGGCCTTGCTGTGGGGTTGACAGTTCCACTGAGACCTGGAGGAGAGATGGTGCCGTTGTGGGTGGAAACAGGCAGAGTATTTGCTCCCAGCAAAGGGACTAGGAAACAGGAGCTGGGGGCCACAGCAGGCCAGCGTGGCTGGAACACTGACCAGGTTGGGTGGCAGGAGATGGGCAGTGAGTCAGGCGGGGAGCTGGTCACACATGACCGCCCCTGCCCCCTGGAGCTTAGGTGGTGTTCTGCTGTAGGATCGACATGGCCTTGTAATTTTAAGAAGTCATTCTGGCTTTTCTGTCTACTGATTGGAGGGAAACCAACAGGGAAAGCAGGCAGGTCAGAGGACAGGCTGCTGCAGCACTGAGAGCTCATGGCGGCTTGGGCCTCGGTGGGGAAGGCAGAGGTGTGGGTGGATGGGCCCGGCTGCAGTTTGGAGGTAGCAGTGGTGGGGGTGAGCGGAAGGGAGGCATCAAGGGTGGCTACCAGGTTCCTGGTGTGAGTAGTGGGCTCCATGGAGTTGCCATTTACTCAGATGGGGAAGAACTGTTTTGGTGGGGGCCTCAAAGCCTGCTAGCTGCAAGGGGATGACCAGTGGACACTTAGCCACAGGAGTCTAGATATGGGGGGAGAGGTCTGGCTCTCAACATTTAGATGGTGTTTGATGGCAGGGGATGGACAGGTGTTCCCTAGGGATAGTGAGGCTCAACTCAGTCAGTGGCCCGCAGGGGCCAGACTGGCCAAGTAAATGCTGGGATGGCCGATGCAAGGTCACAGTCATTGTGCACTGTGGAGGTCTGAAAGCCCACCCTTCATATAGGCAGCAGAATAAAGAGGAAGGAAGGTTCCAGAAGAGATGAGAACAAGAAAGTGAGCACCTGGGGTTTGGGGTGCCCTTTGTGTGGGGTGTGAATGTTGCTCATAGTGATACTGGGATTTGGGGGGGAGGGGGAAGCCTGATTCAGCAGCTGGGGTTGCCGAAGAATGATTGGCAGCAACACAGAATTTTCTAGATGTAGGTAGCAGTGAGTAGCCGGCTGCATGGCCTTTGGAGGGGCCAGGGTTGTTTACAGCTAGGAGGGGCCGGGGTGTTTACAGCTAGGAGGGGCCTGGGGCTTGAAAGTGGAATTGGGGACATGGTAGGCCATCCTGAGGCTGAAGGGAAGTCATGTCCCCAGGGGCCAGCCAGGCCCCTGCTGAGAGCAAGGAGCTGAGGTTGGTCTAGTCCAGGAGCTTCATGGAGAACGTCTCCTTGGGCCACAGCATGCGGGGGCATGTGGCTGAAGCTTGGAAGTGTGGTCAGCATAACCAAGCACTTCACTGAGCTCCATTATTGGGAAGCTGTGCTTACTGCTGTTCAAAGTATAATGGTGAATCCACTGTTTTCAACTCTGTTTCCCAAGGGCCTTTGAAGGGAGAGGGGGTGAAGGAGCACCCCTAGTGTGGTGGTGTTCACCTGAGCAGCTCCCTGCAAGTGTGGCGTTTCTTGGCCAGTGATTCAGTGTTGATGTTCAAACTCTACAGTTTTTTGTTTATCCTCACCCAAGGACACTTTTGCATTCATCTTCAGATAGAGCGAGAGGGAGAGAGGGAGGAAGAGAGAGAGAGAAACATCGATGTGAGAGAGGCACACCGACTGGCTGCCACCCACACAACCCCAACCAGGGCTGGGACAAACTGCAACCCTTAGCGGGAACCGAACCCGGGACTCTCTGGTCCGCGGGCCGACGCTCTAACCGCTGAGCCAGACTGGCCAGGGCCAAACTGCAGTTTACTAAGGGCTTCCAGGAAGATGTGCCGACTGTTTCTGTGGCTCTGTATACTCCCGGGACACTTGGGAAAACACTTTGGGGCGTGGGCCCCCTCATTCGGGCAACTTCCTCTGTGGGGGCTCTTGGGCATTTTACCACTGGGAACTACTTGTATTTTGGTCATTTTATATTTCACTTCCTACTCACTGTGCAGGAAACAGAAGGGATGCAGGAGTGACAGCCAAGTGTGAGTCGAGTCGTGCAAGGAGGGAACCCTCCACGGAAGCCTCCTTGCAGCCCTAATTGACAGCTTACAATTCTGGTCATTTCCCTGCAGCTCGGATATTCATGAGCTCCGGTCTGGGAACACGCCTGAGAGGCCCTCCTGCCTTCGAGGGACCCCCTTCTGATGTGGAGATTATGGTGCTAAGGGCATACAGTAGACCCATTAGTGTGTCAGGAAATCAGTTTAGTGGATTTTGACAGGCATTTTTTTCTTTATTAAAATTAAAAACATTATGGTAAAATACACATAAACATACAATCTACCATTTAAAAAAATTGAGGTATGATTGACATTAATTTCAGATGTACAACATGATTCAGTATTTGTGTGTATTTTGAAATGATCACCACAATGAGTCTAATTAACATCCGTCACCCCACAGAGATACAAAAATTATTATTATTTTTTTTGCAGTGGAATATAGTTCATATTTATTGAAAAAACCGTTGAATGCTTAACACTTTAGCACTTTAAATGTATATTTAACCCTTGTAAAAATCCTGTGAAGTGCAGGTACCATTATTATTCCACTTTACTGATGAAGAAACGGAGGCACAGAGAGGGCTCAACCAAGGTCACATGACTAGTAAGTGGCTGAGCTGGCGTTCCAAGCCCTAGTAATCTGGCTCCAGAGTCCATGAACTATTGCTGCCTCTCACCATTACCACAGGGAGTAAAAACTCCTGTAATTCCTAACAAGCAAATTCTTTCCAGCCCCAGAAAATATTATTTAATTTCTGTGACATTTCATAGTCATTATTATAAGTGGTTTTTCACTAATCAACTTTTTTTTATTTTTTATTTTTTTTCCACATCTTTATCGTTGAATGTAAAATGTATTACAGATGTTGCACATTTTTCCCCCATTGACCCCCTCCTCCCCACTCCCGCCCCCCTCCCACCTTTTCCCAAACTATTGTCCGTGTCCATTGGTTATGCATATAAGTTCTTTGGTTTATCTCTTCCCACCCCCCCAACCCCTTTCCCTTTGAGGTTTGTCAGTCTAGCAATGAATTTGTGCTTCTTAATCCCTTCACCTTTTTCACCCATTACCCCAACCCCCTTCCCAACTGGCAACCAACAAAATGTTCTCTGTATCTATGAGAATGTTCCTGTTCTTCCTGTTCATTTTGTTTGTAGATTCCATTGTTGATAGATATGTATTCATTGCAATTTTGTTTGTTCATACATTTTATCTTTTTCTTTAAAAAGACCCTTCATCATTTCATATAATAACGGTTTGGTAGTGATGAACTCCTTTAACTTTTTCTTGTCTGGGAAAGTTTTTATATGTCCATCGATTCTAAATGACAGCTTTGCAGGATAGAGTAATTTTGGTTGTAGGTTCTTGGTTTTCATCACTCTGAATATTTCTTGCCACTCCCTTCTGGCCTGCAAAGTTTCTTTTGAGAAATCAGCTGACAACCTAATGGGAACTCCCTTATAG